CAGTCTCCTGCTATCTGTCGGCTGGTGCTTGTGGTACTGAATATGTTGTGATTGCTGGCGTGGGAGGTGTACGAGAGGGGAGGGTCGAGGAGGTCGGTCAAAAGAAGAAGGGGAAAGGGCAATGCTTTGTTTATGTGACTACCGGACGTTTGGTGGTCACTTGAGGATTTGTCTGGTCGTTGTGCGCGTGGGCTGGCCGTTGGGCCATGCTCAGGTCTGGATGCCAGCCCACGTGTACTAGGGCTAGACTAATCCCAAATTTTCCGCCGACCACACAGAAGCATTTGAGGCATTGAAGCGTGCTCTTTGAGCAGCGCCGACCTTGACTTTACCAAACTTCAATGGCGAGGCTCATCTTTTCGTGCTGGGCACAGATGTAAGCCATGAGGCGGTAAGTGGAGTTCTATCCCAGTGACTAAGACGGGAGAAAATATTTGATCGCGTATGCCAGCTGACATCTAAGCAAAAAGATGAAAAAGAAGAGTGCAACGGAATGGGAACTTTTTGTTATATGTACATTGGCCAGCAGTTAAACATTAATTGGTAGGGAAGCAGTTCGTTGTGAGGACAGACCATCAAGTACTGACATAGCTGAAGACGACGAAGGAGGTTGATCGCTCCATTATGGGGTAGTACGAAGAACTCCAGCAATATGCTTTTATAGTGCAATATAGTAAAGGAAGCTCTCATGGCAATGCGGACCCTCGGTCACGGAGACCCTTATATTCGTCCACGGATAGCGACACAGTGGGTGCACTATTATTGAGCGAGCCTACTTCTCATCACTGGAGGAATACGCAGAGCGCCGACTCCGATACAGCTTTAGTTTATGAAAGATTAAAGCCATCCTCAGCCAAGCCCACAGTTGAGGAGATGAGTTCGGTGGGCAAGAGAGCCAAGCAAATATGGCAGAAATGGGAAAACACTCTCTAGAAGGTGATGCTACATGGTACAAAGACAATGCGTCAGGGCCTAAACGCCTCGTAGTAATAGTTTTCTTAATGCAGACATCCCTGTTGGAATTGCATGAGCAACTTTGCCATGTGGGGAACAGGAAAATGCTTTTCGCTGCAAGGAAGAGATATTGGTGGATCTCGACGACATCGTCTAACGTCACATAAACAAAGCAATACAACATACTATGTTGTTTAAGTTGGCCTAGATAGAAGAGCGGTGGGAACCGAATAGGAACGCGGATCCCGTGCGCGAGGACCGTGAGAAATCCCTCTCCGAATGATAACGCCTATTCGGCCAGTCTGTACTCTTATCTCCATTCTTCCGGTACCCAGTGCCTAATAAATCGACTGCAACTAACGCCCTTTTGTAGTTCGTGGTTCAAGAGCATGAGGGTAGGCAGGCAGTTCCTACAATGGTTGAAAATGCTTCTCGTATTTGTGAGAAAGTGTTTCATATAATCTTGGATCCTCTAGTCAGTAGTGATATTCGACGTTTAATCATTTAGGGCTATACTTGCGTTAATTTGGCTTTGTAATCTGTTCCAAATATGCATTTTTTGTCTAGGCTTTTTAAAGATCTTTTTGTTTTAATTTTTGGTGTTTAGATGCGGACATTGCGTTTTCGTCGGCCTCAGAGTTGGCGTCTTTGCAATCTATGTATTTTATCGGCGCGCAAAGAAACATCTTTGGAAAATATTTTGAACTTTACTTGGAGAGCACTCTTTGATACGGCTTATTGTTGTATCGCTAACTCGTTTCGTCTGTGTCCGGACTCTCATCGCATCACTGTGTGCTGAAACTCGGTCAGCTGTCGTCCCAATTCAAAATTTGTAGACTATGTATACTTTTAAAAGATAGTACTGAATTCTTATTCATTATATTGTTTAGTTTACGTCTGTTACAGATTAGGGTCTTTGCAACTTTGCTTGAGTCCAACGTCCGCTGATCTTGTTAATCTTTGTATTTCTTTCCTGAGACATCGAATCTTCTAGTTCAACCTCCATTGGTTCTTTACAATATCCCTTTTTTTGCGTTACGGCTAATTAGCTCAACATTTCCTGAACAATTTCTGGTCATTCTCCTTTGCTCTAGTTAATCTGATGGCAACTCTACGCCTCTCATTTTCGATGCTCAAACCACTTTCACCATGTTTAACCACGAAGACGTGCCACTCTTTCTGCAACTTTACTCAACGCACCAACAGCGATTCTTTTAAGGGAACTTTCTATATGGAGACATATGGATGTCAAATGAATTTCAGCGATTCGGAAGTAGCTCATTCTATTCTAAAAAGTGCAGGATTCAAAAAAGTCAATGATCTGGTCGAGGTTTGATTTAGTGTTAGAATATTTCATTTCAAGGCGGATACTGCGCTCCTCCTTACTTGTGCTATTCGCGAAGGTGCCGAAGCAAAGATATGGCGCCGTATGAGTTACTTGCGTTCTGTTCCAAGAAGCAAACATCGTTCACCTCTGCGCATAGGGATTCTCGGTTGTATGGCTGAACGTCTGAAAGAAAGCCTACTTGAAGGACAGGAAGTTGCTGCAGATTTTGTGTGTGGTCCAGATGCCTATCGTGATCTCCCAAAGTTAATTAAGGACATTCAAGCGAACGGAGTGAAAGGGGCATCTCTTTCTCTTTCTTTGGAAGAGACCTATGCTGATGTTAAGCCCGTTCGTCGATTCGGTCCATCGGCCTTCATCTCAGTAATGCGAGGCTGTGATAATATGTGCTCCTATTGTATCGTTCCCTTCGTTCGTGGAAGAGAGCGTAGTCGGCCATTAAAATCGATCGTCGAAGAAGTGTATCAACTCTCCTCTGAGGTATTGTTACCCTTCTTGGTTTTGCACTTCAACGATTACGACAAATTTGTTTTTTAAGGGTGTTAAAGAAGTCATTCTTTTGGGCCAGAATGTAAATAGTTATCGTGATCTCTCGGATGGCCCTGATTCCGTTGACTGTAGTGTCGATAGCCTTGCTCCTGGCTTCAAAACTGTGTACAAGCAAAAAGTCGGCGGGCATCGGTTTATCAATCTGTTGGATGCAATAAGCTCTATTGCTCCTAATATGCGCATACGATTTACCTCTCCTCATCCCAAAGATTTTAATTTAGATGTGGGTTTTTCGCTACTTATTTATGGGACTCTTTAGGTTCTCCAACTAATTGCTGAACGCCCAAACGTTTGTTCACAGGTTCATTTACCGGCACAATCAGGCAGTTCCTCTGTCTTAGAGCGCATGCAACGTGGATACACTAGGGAAGCTTATTTGGAACTAGTCGATCGTACAAAATCGATCATTCCGAGTATGTCGCTACTTTATTCTTATTCTTTTCCTTTAGACGTCGCAATCTCATCGGATTTTATCGCTGGTTTCTGTGGCGAAACAGAGGATGATCACAAGCAAACACTTACTCTTATAGATCACGTTTCTTATGCATACGGTTTTTGCTTTCCCTTTAGTCTCAGAAGCGTAAGTTTGCAAAGTAGGGCAAAGTTCTCTGGTACTTCTAGAAAACTCGCGCGTTTCACCGATTGGAGGATGACGTGCCGGCGGAGGTAAAAGCATACAGACATAATGAGTTGAAAAGAGCTCTCCGTTCGTCGGCCCTCCGGTTCAATAAAGCTCTCATTGGTTCCATAGAACTTGTACTTGTTGAATCGGTAACAATTGGTTTGCTCCCTCCCTTCCTCTGCATTCTTGTGATCGCTGGTTTTGTTTTCCTTTTAGATTAGTAAAAGATCGACCGCTGAATTAGCTGGACGTGTGGATGGGGGAATTAAGGCAATTTTTCCAAAATATCTTCCAGATTCTTCTGAAATTTGCATAGGTGACTACGTCGTCTTAAAGGTAAGCTAGAATTGGGTTTTCCGTGTGGGTCGATAAGCACAGCATTCACGAGCATGGAATATGTTTTCTCAACCCCTTTTGTTATTTGATGGTCTTGGATTTTAGATCGACTCCTGCACTTCTCAAACTCTCAGAGGCACCCCACTCAGAAAAACAAATATAGTTGATTTTCACAAAAACCATTCTACTGGGCGCCATGAAGCTCAAGCATCTTAGCCTTTATTTCCACGGTGTAACTCAGCGGCAATATATAGAATCTAAAGTATATGCCTTTGCTGTTCTTTGAACGGTCCTGAGAACTCTTACCTCATTATTTGATAGTCTTAAGCCGTCTTCTACCCAGCACTCCACGATTCTCTGGGTAAATAGCTAGCACAAGTTGCCAGTCCAGTACTAAATATTTGTAAAATAAGACGCTAGTTAGGAGAATACGTCAATCTCAAGACCGAATAAGAGAACATATATGAAATGTATTAGTTTAGTTAGATGGTCCGACGAATAAAGATGGGGAAACTGAGGTTTTGATAGCAATAAACGGGGGAAAAGATCGTCAAACAATGAAGGCCTTACGGGTGAGGGTGGAATTGATGCTCACCATCTGCTTGCTGCCATGAGAATCGCTCTGGCCTGTGTTTGACTCGTAGAGCAGTGCCACTTTGCGCGCCACCACTGTAAGTAGTGAGGCCACATCGTGATGTCGTCCTGACTCCTGCGCCGCCTTGATCACTTTGCACAATTCCTGGACGAACCAACTGCCTGCCTGCGAGTTACGCCAAGCGTAGTAACCTGTGTAATGCATCAAAAGTGCACACATCGCTGAGCCTTTTAACGCGGAGCTGGTTGGGCTATTTTGTGTCTCGCGGTCTCTCTAAGTTGCATTGATCAGTACCACGCACGCATTGGACAGACTAAGGATAGTTCTACTATTAAACCAAGGATTAGATCAGATCCTGGCCAAAAGAACAAACCACCGTTTTTAATTCTATTTAGGGGTCGACAAACACAGAACGGTGGCAACAGTTATGCTATGAGCTTGGTGGGAGCGATATCAGTAGACCAAGAGCGTAGTGAAGCGCGGCCTACCAGGGAAAGTTGAATTGGCAACAAAAACATCGGCTTCAATGGGAAGCTTCGTGACAAGCACATAGTCCGAGTTAGCATCCGTAGAGAGAGCGACACCTTTATCAAACTTGCAGCCTCGGCAGGCCTATAAGAAAGAATATGCATTCAAACAGTTGGTCAGTGGTATAGGACGTTCTAATTACCAAAACATGATGAGGTGAAGAGGCTCAGGATAAGCAGAGCACGGGTCTCTAAGTTAATTGACTTGCAATGTTTTCAAATTTTGGAATGTCAATATCGCTGCACTGATTCCAATTAATGTAAGGAATGCATGAATTTTTTTGCTATTCAAGATTGAGATATTGAATCATGGTGCCAGATTGATACTGGAATTGAACTCTACAAGGAGGCATGATAAAAGTGGTTTTCAGAGGCACCGAAGGGAGAATTGGAAAAATTAACAGTCAAACGCTTACGTGATGCAAGAGAATATGGATCTAAGCAATTTACAAGGACGTTTTGCCATGTAAAAGTGGGCTGTGATGCTAACAGTTGGCACCAGGCACCAAAGTCTGGTTTAACAGAACGAGACAATTTGCAAGGGGTGAAAAAAGACAGTTCCAGCGTAATCTCCAAGAAGGCAGAAAAAGACTTGCAAATATTTTGTAGTGTGCTAAAGGAAATTGGTAATGAAGTCAAAAAACGTGAACTAAACGCATTGGGCAGTCAAAATAACATTGCACAATCAAATAGTGTCAGCTTTGACTGAATCATGCACAAACTTGAGGGAACAAGACGTGAATCTCTGATTATTTGCCGAAAATATCATTCCCTCATAGTATCTAAAGCGGTACATTTTGTGACCAGAAGTTTGTATGAACAATAGCTTGAATTAAATCCAAGTCTTTTATAATACGGAATTGAAATAACGACGAATATCAGTACATAACAATGCTGCCAGCAAAGTACCTCTAAACAATGACCTGAGGTAAATTGCCTACCACCTTCCAGTGTGCAAAAATATCACCCATAAACAACTTGCGAATTGAAAAAAAACGGAAGGTGCACCCGTTAAAGCATCACCATTACATTCAGCAATGATTTACTTCAGGACCAAAATCTGGAGCAAAACGAAACGGAACCCCTCAATAACATTAGTAACACAGAGGTGGACAATATTCCAAAGTTGACAGCTGATAACTCCAAAACCCGATGAAGGAAATTAAGGAATCTAAAGTGACTGCATTAATTTATAATTTATTTAAACCAACACCTTTTCAAGCACGTTCTCTCAAATAAATAATATCCAACTTCAGTCCCAATGCCGTCTGAACCGTACCTGAATGAAGAACATTTTAGGTTTGCCAGCAAGAGTAGGGCACCTATCTGAACGAAAGTATCCGATGAGACGATCCACGTTGATGGTCCCGTCGGAGGCGTAAACAATCCCCTCTGCGCCATGGCTAAGGATTACACAAGCGAAACTGTCGTACTTGGTGTGGTTCTGGGACCGAACTAAAAACGAGGCCGGTGGAACCAATTATTCATACGCATACACATCTCATTTCTGGCAGTACCATGTTTTGTTAATTCAACCAGCCATACTGAGTGCAATAACGACTTTTCGGCTGCAAATTATCAACCAATTAGATCGTCCCTAAGGTACCACAAACAAACACAGACTGCAGGCGACTCAGGGACGGTGACTGATCTTAATAATTTTGAGTGCGCTTCGATCATGGGCGAGTTACAAATTTACCCAATCTTTAAAATGGTTGAAGGCATTTGTTGTGAAAATTAAAAATTGGTACGCCTTTAATTACAAAATAAAGTGTGAACTACTAGTCTAAAAGCAAACTGGTTTAAGAATACCGACATTTCCTGATCGCATCACTACTATCGGTGAAAAGGTGTTAAATGATCATGCATTTCTATAAAAGTGTCTAACAGAGATATTTCTTCTTGGGTTACTCCCTAAACTTGAGAAAGACTGTGCCCAAGAGGAAACTGGCTGAAGGATGGAAACCAAGACTGGTTCAGACACGCGCAGCACATGGCACAAAAACATGGGCACTACATGCAATCATTAAATGACTCAAAAAAAGGAGTTTCACACCAATACATGGTTCACCAAACTCCTTACACAATCACATCATACGTTCGGAGCAAGTCTTATGCTGAAAATGTCTGATAAGGTGCGATCAGAGTTCGTGGGGAGATGTATAACAAGGACCATTTAACGAGGTTCGGCTACGTCTTCACAATGTTTTTGGCTAATAACTACATAAAACAAGCAAAGAGCAACTGACATGAAAGAGTATCTAACCATCATCAAGAAGAAACTCCATTTTTCGGAGAGTAAGATTGGTAGCGCGGTTGACGGCGTAACCACAGCGAATGAAGGTACGTTCAATATTGTCCGCATCGACATCTGTGCCATCGCGGCGCTCCTGCCCAGTCTTGGCAAGATCAAAGTCACGCTGGTTGATCAGGAGGCAGACTCCGCGTGGGTTACTACGATTGTTAGGATTTGCCACCCGCGGATATCCAAGATCGGGGTCACAGAGCTCGACCTCACTGAGGTACCTCCGCCCATCACTGCTTCCGGTTCCCGTCATCACTTCTGCTGGCTTAACGCTTTTTTGAAGCGGGGGTGAGGCATGGCATGGTGACGCCGTTCGTCGTAGAGTAGGGGACGACTTACCTCCCGCCGAGGAGCTAGCAGTCAGAGACGAGCACATCACATCTACCCACACTCTAACACTATCACATGCCGAATACGAAGTCTGGGGATGAGTATGCATCTCAAAGTTGTGGTGAATTGAAACGAAAATAGGAAATCTCAATCAATAAGGATTTCTAGTAGTAGTCATATGCTAATTTCCATCAGTGACATTTCAAGGAACGGAAGAGATTACGCAGCCCTCAAAGAATTTTCAAATTAGCGCAAGCTATGGAGGCAGCTACTAAATATGTAACTCATTCCTTCTAAAAGAATACGCCTCACAAATCCTAGAAACACGTGCTAAAGTGGTTTCGCTGCACTTGAGACAAATGTTTACATGAGATTATCAAGACAAGGAGAAATTGGACAGTCATTTTCAGGAAATACTAGGTTTCGTCGAACCAAACACAAAAAAGTGAATGACAGGCAAATTTAAATGCATCGATTCGATGATCAAAGAGGAAAAGGGGCTTTGATTCAAAAAAGAACGTTGCGAAGTTTGTTATAAAACGTTCTGGTGCCTCACTGAATCTTTATGGATAACTACAAAAAGTGCACAATTGGAATCACTACTTAAGCAATGGACAAGATGCGATCGCATTGACACCTCTGTGGGCTGATTAAGCATGATTTTGTGAGGAAAAGAGCAGTTTTTAATGCAGCGAAAAAGTTGTCACTTGTGGTGAACAAGCACATCCTGCAGTTGTACTCGAGAATATAACCAACAATACATACAATATGTTTAAAAAATAAACACCCAATTTTATCCTCCAACGATGAGTATTTCAAAAAAAATTTGCAAAATTGAACCGCACTAACCTAACCCAAAAGTTTGAAGTAACATTCAGTTCTTTTTTGTAGTTATGGTAAGGATGTATGGTTTGGGTGAAACAATAGTATATGGACAATTTCATGCCAAATGTGTTTTTGCTTCAGAAAAGGCGCTATTTAGCTACTTTCTAGTGGAATGCCTTCAAGCTATCAGCCTCAGGAATTGCGTTTGAGGGTGTACCTTCCAAATAATTTATGCCATTTATTTGAATAGCTATGCAAAAGACCATGCTATGGAACAGTTGCCTACGTTTAATGGTTCAGACTCGTCCAAGGTCAATGTATCCTTTCATGTGGCTACCTAAACCAAACTTCCACTCTAAGAAGCTAAATGACCGTAAGGGACGCGGAAAACATTCAACAGCACAACACTAATTTCAATAAGCAAAATACAGGCGTATTAAAGAGACTAGTTCACAAGGATACCGTCAGTTTTGAAGAGATTTACGAATTTTGTTCCAAGAGGCATACCCATGAGCACTAACAGCGCTGGACGCATTTAACACGTAGATAAAAGTAAGCGACATTGAAAAGATAAAAAGGCGTTCACCTCGTAAACACAAAAATCTAGGCATTAGAACCGACAGCTATTACTTACCGAAAGCCATGTCTGAAATGTAATACGTAAGAAATTAAAATGCAGCAAATTAGTAATTTTCAACGCCGGCGCATGAAATGTGATTTCGTCTGATTGCCTAGCGTAATAATTTTGTTATTTGCATAAAATTGATAACCAACGCATCAATTAAAAGAATGGTAAGTATCGTTGTTCAACTACTTAAAAAACTAATCCAAAATACTTTGTGAGAACAGTTGCAGTTTCAACAAAGTAGAAAGGCAAAACCATTTACCAGCAACGAGGAAGTTCAACCAAGTCATGAGACTATATACACTCTAATTTTAAATGTAACTGTTATCAACAATCAGAACATTTATGTCCACGATCGCTGGGAAATCACAAAAACGCCTTAACGCTGGCAAACTGATATGCGTACGTACATGGGTAAAGTTGTCGGTTATTACTTTGCACGAAGTCAAGTATTACATAAACAGGTTTAGGTGAATAAGGCACAAAAATATAGTCTACCACATCAAAGCACATACAAATTATAGCTTATTTTATTCAATAGTACACAAATGGTTCAAGCAACGGTCACCGCCTAGAAATAGCCCATTGAGTGACTATCAAGTGTATCTGACTTTAACATCTGCAGGGAAGACGCGACCACAGAAGTCAAAAAGCTGTAACTCGTTTCTATTAGCACCGTACGGAGACAATAAAGTCAGTTTAGTTCACAAAATATGGATTTGTGTCAAACGCTAAAACGCATGAAGTCCCCACCCAACATTAATATATCTTCCAAAACCCACGATAAGCTAGCCAAGCACCATTTACTTGCCACGAAAGTTATTTGCTCTAGCCTTTGAATAGATTTGCTCAAAGGGAACAAGCCATTGAAAACCAAAAATAAGAGTCGATGAAAGTTTGTGTCCGGAGCGTAATATCTCCCATTTCCGGAGTTTATGATCCATTATCGTCCTTAACCACAGGATAGCTAACCTCGTACCAGTATCGGTTGATACGCTAGAGGCATTTTGATCATCGCATCAACATATTGGCTAATTTTCATTTAAGAACCTATGTCTCCGAAGCATGGGCGAATACCTAATTAGCAAGTCCAGGGCAATAATACGTGTAGTGGCACATGTGTAAGACAATATATATCTACAACAAGCCAAACATTAGGCATTTTCATGCGACTGAATCTCATTAGAATTCAAAAAAGTCACAATATATTAACTATACACTGTAACCCAGCTACAGTGCGTTCAAAACTCGTTAACCATTGATAATACTTTGACTTTTCCAACCAACCGATTTGGCTAAAGTTGGACAAGCACCGAATAGCATTCCAGAAATAACTTATTTATCTTTAACGTACGACATACAAAGACATTAAGGCCAACTCTTAAAAGCGCCGGTGATAAAAAAGAAACCAGGATAAAGTTAAAAGAACTTACTCTTAGAGACGTAAGTAACACCGTCATGTTTAAATGACCATAAATGGCGGATGTATATCATGCTTAACAAACACATTTGCTATAGGGACCCACTTACCACTATAGTTGCTACATCTTAGAAGGCAAAACAGGATAATTTTTGTCATATTCCAGTCTGGCAATAAAAAAAATACTATCTGTTAAAAAAGAGAAAACTCACAAAATAAAACTGGCATCTTCGTCATCATTGCTAGCTGGATTACCAGCCGCTAATTGTGAAGGTGAAACTTGCGTCTCCATTTTTCTGAAAAAAGCAAATAATACATCACGTAACACATGAATATGATAGAGGAGAGCAACAAGTGAAATGAAGTCTGAAGTGCTAATAAAAAATGTCGCCCAATATGGTGTGCTTCAAAGAATCTTGACAAAATGCAAAAGTAGGTGCCGCCTTAATAAGCAACTTTTCCATAACAAGAGTGATCATCTTTAAAAACTAAAGAGGTACCGATGGTAATATGCAACGATTTAAAGAAAATAACGACAAATATACAGATCAAGCTTATAATTTATAGGAGAACCATAGTAGCCGTAGCCGTAGTAGCTTGACTCAGCTGCAAAACCCCACCAATCAGTCAATGCAAATTAGTTTGACGGTGCACATAAGATTACAAATTTATCATTTAATGAACGAACGACAAACAGCAGAGACTAAACATTAAGGTAACTATGATAGGGAACAATACGAAAATTCAACAGCCTTCAATCGCTCACGGAGCAGTATTATTGTGCTCATGGAAAATATAGTTAATTAATTCACAAAATTATGAAAAAGCAAACCTAAACCGAAAATCGACTATGCAGACACCGAATCAACAAAGCCAGTGCGCTTCCAAATCTCGCATCACCTGTTAGGTCATTTTTGCTTACCATAACAATTTGGACGGATAGGAATTTATAGCTTACTTTGGTGAATTTTTCTATTTAGAATGTGAATTATTTTTAGAATTTAATCGGATCCAGATAATTTTATGCCCTCAAAAATCTTACACGGATTTAACTGCATTACAGAACTCAGACGAATTAGTTGTCCGTTCTAATTTACCGTAATTTAGCGACTCAGGGAGAGTTAAATCTGAAGTCCGGTGAGCTTTGTTGAGAATGGCTGTTAACCTTTGCTACTTTGTGTTTGGTGGATACATTGGTATCCTACTTAAACACTTGTGCCTGATCTGGCTTTAAGGCAAGGCGGCGACTAACCTATCTTCATTTGGAATACATGTATTCTATCTGGTGGAAGCCTTGGATGCTATCACAACAAGTGTATTTTAAACCACATTTTTGAATTGTAGCGTCCCAAGATTTCATGGCCGGTATAATAAGAAAGTGCAGCAAATGGAGCCCGAGCATGGCCCAACGGCCAGCCCACGCGCACAACGACCAGACAAATCCTCAAGTGACCACCAAACGTCCGGTAGTCACATAAACAAAGCACTGCCCTTTCCCCTTCTTCTTTTGACCGACCTCCTCGACCCTCCCCTCTCGTACACCTCTCACGCCAGCAATCACAACATATTCAGTACCACAAGCACCAGCCGACAGATAGCAGGAGACTG